ACTTCACAGAATAAATGGACTGATTCTTATGCAGCACTCGGTGCTTCTACAACATCCACACTCCGATGCAGCATCAGAGAGTGACCCGGGGTTCGTATCCTGTGTAAGGATACTTGGCATGCAGACTGGGGAAGCCAGGAATCAACCACCAACCCTCCGATCACCTGATGAGTCGTTCACGTTGAGCTCTGAACAGAATTACTTTTAACAACCTCCCATGTTTTATGGTGACGTATGCCTGACCCCGCCCACTCGTGACGCCATCAGATAAACAAACCCGTCACGCTGTGAGAGGAAAGAGGAAGTGGCGGTCTGTCCTCGGGTTACAGCTGTGCGTTGGCTCTAAACTATGAGACGTTAGCGGCAGGCCGACCTTCGCAGAGCCGCAGACAGCGCAGCTAGCATGGCGTCCTCCGCCGGCCCGGCCCGGCCCGCTCCAGCCTCTGCGGCCCGGCCGTCACTGCGCCCTCCACTGCCGGCCTCGGCCCACTCCGCGCAGGGCTGCGTTATGCTGGAGTCCGTGGACGACGCGGAGGGGCTGTACGTGGCCGTGGAGCGCTGCCCTCTGTGCAGCACCTCCCGCCGCAGGCTTACCTGCGCTCGCTGCGTGCAGGCCGGAGACTTTGTGTACTTCGACGGCAGGAACACAGAGAGGTAAACACCGGAGCCGAATTCCACCGACGCACGCTCAAAGTTTCCCGTTCCTACGTTCCTCTGCGGACACGCAGCACCGGGGAGCTGCTCCGTTTCGCCTGAGGATAACGGTAGCTGTCGGTGCCGTTCGGCGTCGTTGTGACCACCGACTGCGTCTTAAAAAACGCTTTTCACGGCTTTCTTTGTGTCTGACTGCTCTGTTGGTGGGGACATTAGCCGAAGCGTGGAGCCCAAATAACACTGCTGTGGTGAAACAGGTGTTTCGGCTAAACCGAAGCGCGATTATTATTAAAATCAGAAACTCTTCTTTATTTTCTCAAACGTCAGAAGTTACGGTGTAATGACCGGAGGTGTGACACGCTAATACTCCACAGTCGCACCGTCTCGTCTTTAAAAAGGTGTAAACTAACCTGAAAACGGCGCTTAGCATTAGCAGCTAACAGTGGTTAGCTAAGTAACTTTCAGGTAGCCTGTTAGCTCAGCTCGGTTAGCCTTTGTATCAACATCTTTTACTGTTAGCTCAGCTAGATTAGCCTCGGTTGGCCTGTTAGCCTTTTTAAGCTTTATTTGGCCGGTTAGCTCAGTTTTGTAAGTCTGCTAGGTCTCAGGTTATCGTGTGTTGACCTGCTCTGGTATTGTTAGCCTGGTGGCTAGCTGCTGTGTTACAGAGTGCAGGGCTCGCAAAATTTCAAAATCCCTGGTAGCCCTTCGGGCAGGGACTCTTCAGTTTTTGGTAGCCCAAAATAAATTTAAGTAGCCCGAATAAAAAAAGAGAGCAATTTTTTGATTGATGTTTTGTTTCCTCTTTTGTTTCCGTTACAATATTATACATTAAAGTATAATATTGTAAAGGAAACAAAACATTAATCAAAAAATTGTTGAAACACAAATTACAACATTGTATAAAAATTACAATCATCAACTCAAATACTTGGTTCTAATTGAACAGAAATTTCTATGAACTTGTAAGAACTGTGAACATGAATCAGTCTGTGTCAGATCCTGAATCTGAAATTTCCACTGAAGTCACGGGTAAGAGGCAAGTGGGACCAAGATCGAGGCCGTTTGCTTTTTGAAGTTTGCAAAGACTGCTACATTGTGCCTGTGGTAGTTCACTCTTTGTAACATAGTACGCTGTTCTAAACAGATTTTCAGGTTTATTTTTAGTTTGTTATTTGCAATTGGTGTTTGTTCTGGGAAAGATGCTGCAGACTGAGCAATAATGCATTTCTTGCATTTCTCATGGGTTCTAATGGGGGCCTTTCTTAAAATGACTGGTCCCAGTAACAAAGGCGCTTGTCGACTCAGAAATTGAGGGAAAACCAACAACACACCCAGAACATTGTTATTTACACGGGTGCACAATAAGTGGGCCGCATGTGCGCATTCGCTGTCAAAGTAAAAGACGCGCACCAGATAAGAAGTTGCAGCGCGCGTTTGCGTCCATATAAAAGGCTGTTTTTGTCCACTAGAGTGGGATTTTCACGGCACATTCTGCACCAAGGCTGAGGGTCGCAGATGCCAACAGACTCAATAAACTGATCTGTAAGGCCAGTAATGTTGTGGGGATGGAGCTGGACTCCCTCAAGGTGGTGTCGGAGAGGCGGATGTTGTCCAAGATAAAGACAGTGTTGGATAACACCTCCCACCCACTCCATGACGTGCTGGTCACTCTCAGGAGGACGCTCAGTGAGAGACTGAGATTACCCATAATGCACCACTGAACGACACAGGAAATCTTTCCTGCCTGTGGCTCCCTGTACAACTCCTCCACCCAACACACTGTTTACTGCTACAGCTACACCTTTTTCTTTTTCAGCTATTTATTAATAAGTGACTTTATGTGTGTGTGTATATATATGTGTATATCTTACTATTCTTAGTTAGCGTGTTGTCTGTCTGTTAATGTTTGTTTATAATGGAGCACTGTAACAAAAAATAATTTCCCCCAGGGATCAATAAAGTTTTCTGGTTCTGAATGCGCACCTGCGACCACTTATGTGCAGCCCTGGTTATTTAGCTCGTCATATTGCAGCCACAGAAATTCTTTTGTCCATGAAACCATAAAGCTGCACTTTCTTTTTGCCTTATAGTCTGATTTGTCATAACTTTTCCGTTTTGTGGTAAGCTTTTCTTTGGCTGTCACTTCTTCACCCTGACCTGTCTTATTTGGCTCAGCAGAACTAAAATATATATCCTGCTGCTTTTACACACGCACTCACATAACGCTCAGTGATTCTCTGCGCGATCAACCTCTCACATGTTTAAGCTGCGGGAGATGTCTTGTCATGTTTGCATAGTAAGCTAACGATTGATAAGATGATGTGCAAATGATCATCACTCACCAATCAGTGCTGTCGCTCTCTATACACAGTTCGCGCGATTGCAAAGTGAAAGCAAAGAACAAGCGCAAATTCAAACGCGATTTCAATATGTCACATACTGACAGTGGCTCACCGATGCCAATGACATAATTACCCAGCTACATTTCTGAAAGAATGCAAAAGCATTGACATATATTTTTCCTTCCTCTGATAGCCTGACGGGCAGGGCAGAGATAGGTTTTGGTAGCCCGACTGGAAAAACCGCTAGCCCCGGGACGTCGGGCTAGCGATTTTGCGAGCCCTGGAGTGAGGTCATATGCTCCGTTTAGACGTTTCCCAGGCTGGAGTCAGTGAGATGACCTCAGGCCCCCCTGCTCTTTGTTACTGCAGCTGTTGCAGAAGTGTGCTGGGTTTAATCAGGCTGTCGGGTTCTGCTGGCTTCTGGTTCTGAAACTGTAAAACCCTCTCAGGTGTGAGGTTTTATCTACTGCAGGTGAACTCTCTGCTGTTTGTCTGCAGGTACACCGAGAAGCTTGAGCGG